AAATTCTCAAATCCTCAGTCTGAGTTCAGATACACCCGATGGTGCATCCGAATCCCTCAAACCAAGGCTCTGATACCAACTTGTAACGACGTGAACTCTCAAAACAATTTTTTCATTTTTAATTAATACTTTTAATCATCAAAAACAATATCTAACATAATGTATCCAATGTTGTCATAACAAAACAATTCCCAGAATCTCAGACATAATCTCTATAAGTGTGTACGGATCATGCCGGCACCTTCCCATGATCCTCGCTGGTACCTGAAACACATAACACAACAACTGTAAGCATAAATGCTTAGTGAGTTCCCCAAAATACCACATACAACACATACGCCTTTCCAGGCCATAACTGTGTGGGATCTTCCAATCCAAGTGTCTCAGGGGACTTCCGCCCCGAATCCCGGTAGACCTTCCGGTCCTACCCGTAACGACCTTCCGGTCCGTAACCTTCTGACCTTCCAGTCAATAACATACATAGCACATACATGTCACATAACCGCATATAGCGCATACATCTCATAGCATACGAGACCTTCCGGTCACACATATGTACCCTTCCAGGTACAGTATAGTGAGAAGACTCACCTCGGATATCTCGGATAATCTCACACACGTATACACTGATCTAGCCTCCACCTAGACACATAAACAATTATCTCAAATCAATAACAGCTCTACAGGCTAGACTAGTCTCTTCCATGTCCTCTAAAAAGGATAAAAGACCATTTTACCCTTCAAATGATCCACAAGTCCAATTGTTGACCAAACCTTAAAGTCAACAAAAGTCAACGATCAACCTTTGACTAAACTCGTCGAGTGCACTCGTGTGACTCGGCGAGTCAATGCATGTCCTCTTCGTCCCTAGATCTCACTCAACTCGCTGAGTCAACCCTACACTCAATGGGTTATCATAGGTCGCGAATCGCGGGGCAGCCCGACTCGATTCGTCAAGTCCCGTAATGGACTCAGCGAGTTCCTCCCATGAAAACACTCAAACGATCTTCTAAGGTCAGATCTACTTCTCCAACTAGTATATCTAACATTCTAACAATCGAAAGTCACATAAAGGTTCAAACTTTACATTCATGCAATGCTTATAAGACCAAAAATGCAGAAATTACATTTAAAATGGGGTTCTACTCTTAAGGCTCACATGAAACCACATAAAGATGGAAGCTTGGGACCTTTTGGACCTCTCAAGGTCCAGATCCATCATCTACACTCAAAGGGACATCATATGCTTCACAATCTAACTCAAAATGGTGCAAAGGAAACCCTAGATTCTAGGAATTTACCAAATACACGAAATGGGAAGGACTTGTACCTCAAAACGTGAATCTCAGTGTGAACAACACAAATCCAAGCTCCACAATCGATCTAGCTTGGATTTTCCCACTCCTTCATTCAAGATCACACCAAAGGATGAAGAATTAGCCTCCAAAATGCACTCTAAGCTCTCATTGCTCTCTAGGGTTTTCTCATGGGAGTAGTGGCCGCAAATGACGGCCATAAGGGCCTTTAAATAGGGCTCAGGCCCTGAGATTTAGGGTTTCACTTTACAGTGCGGACTCATCGAGTCCACGCACTGACTCGTCGAGCCCAATCATTAATCCAGACAAGAATTTGCGATCCTACTAGGCGAGTCTAAGCGTCCACTCGCCGAGTCCCTCCATAAAACTCAAAATAAATAATTAAAATAAGATACCTGGGAATCCGGACGTTACACTAAAGAAAAGAGAGCTAATGATTTACGTATGTATTTTCTCAAAGAGAAGAGTCATTTATATAATACACAAGATTAGGGTTTGCCTCTTATGGTTGGCCGTCATGGGTTGCTTTGGAAGCAAGTTAGGGAAATCTGAAATTTAATGTGGATTTAGAGTTTCCAAAACCAACGACGTAGGTACATTGAAGCGTCAGTGGGCCTTGGCCCACCCTGACAAATATATATATATATATATATATATATATATATATATATATATATATATATATATATATATATATATTATATAAGACATAGATCCGGTAAAAAAAAAATTTGGTAGGAAGGTAAGAAGTTTTTTTTTCTACATATTTTTTTGATGAACAAAATAAATGAATCACTAGATGATTCATTTGTAAGATGATTCACAAGAAAAAAATTCCCCAAAAAACATCTTTATGATTCATTTTTAAGTAAATTAAGAAAAAATTCATTTTTATGACAATTTTAGTGAATAACAACAAAATCATTGTATAAATAAATCATCGAGATGTTTTTTTGAGAATTTTTTCTTGTGAATCATGTTACAAATGAATCATCTAATGATTCATTTTGTTTGTTCGCGAAAAAAATATGTAGAAAAAGAACTTCTTACCTTCCTACCAAAAATTTCCTTCTTATTTGATCTTCACTATATATATGTATATATATATATATATATATATATATATATATATATATATATATATATATATATATATATATATATATATATATATATATATATCGATTAAAAAAATGAATATTTGAACTCTGACTCATCCACTAAATTAAAAACTCTTTATGAGGGATTATATTTTTCGTGGGCAATCATATTTTCACTGTAACCTTCGCAAGATTTTATGGTATTTTAAATAAAATTCATAAAATTCTGCATTCATTCGATCAGGTACACATTTCTTTTTTTATTATCTCTTAATTACAAATATATATATATATATATATATATAATATATATATATATATATATATATATATATATATATATATATATATATATATATATATATATATAGATATATATAATTTTTTTTTTATTTATATCTTATATAATTTTTAATTGATTTAGTTCTTACTAATTTAGCATTGAAGCACCTTGAAGCTAATGTGAATGACCATCCATTTTTGGGAAAATTGTCATCTATTGTTGAAGTATGTCAAGGTTTGGTGGAGATAAGAAAATCGAGTCATTACTATCTTATTGACAGGTTGATTCAGCTTGTGTTAACCCTACGGTGTCTACTGTAATCAATGAGCGTACATTTTTTTCCATGAAAATTGTGAAGAATCGGCTACGTAATAAAATGGATGATGATTTTATTGCTGATAATTTGGTTCATTACATCGAGAAAGACATCGCTAAGATTTTTGAAGTATAGACTCCATTTTAGATGATTTTCATGATGTAAGAGAACTTCGTATGCAACTTAAATGAACAATTTATATTTTCTTATTATTTGAAGTATTTTGCTACTCTTTTATATTTTGTAAAATTTTTGGCCTACACTAACACAAAATCCTTGCTACGCCACTGAATATAAGTATTTATAATAATAATAATAATAATAATAATAATAATAATAATAATAATAATATGTTTTTACTTTTAAAAAACATATTTATATTTTTATTGTTTTTATATCTTTAAAACAATATTTATGCATGATGTTTTTTTTACAAAATAAATATATATTTATGCCTATTAAATACAAATAAATATTTTTTTATATAAGTATATTTTTCAAGGTGTGTATTCGCTTTTAAATATATACATATTGTTTTAATTATATAAATACTTTTTAAAAATTGTATGCTGTAAGTTGGTAGTTGTAATACAAGTCGCCTTTTTTACTTCCCCTAACACCAACTAGAAATTACACTATTATTTTTGTGTAAAACTCACACCAAAATTCATTTTAATTTCAAACACACATAAAAAATTACATTAAAACATATTTTAATAATATAAAATATAAAACAATAATTATAAAAACTAAAAAACAGTTAAAATAACCAATTTAAAGGAAAAAATGATTTGATGTTATGAATAATGGTCTTTGTATATAGAGGCTATATTTTTTTTTTCCCAAAAGCCATTTTTAATGGTTGATTGGAGCATTTTTGACTTATATAAGATAAAAATAAAGGTTCATTGGAGATGCTTTAAACCTGAGTTTTTAATTAGAGAGAATTTCATATATGCTTCTCTTAAACTTCAAAATATCATATTTGCCCAGTTTAATTTCTCAATATCATATTTACTGTTTTATAAACCTTTAAAATATCATATTTGCCCAAATCATTTTTTATAATGTTTTTAATATTTTATAATCATTTTTATACATTAGAATTATTATAATAATTAAGAAATTTAACAATATTATCCTGACGTCTATGATAATGGAATGTGAACTTGTAAATTTTTGGAATGTCGGCTTCTTGACAGACAAAAAAATTCATTTTTAACCCTTTTTATGAAATGTATATTTTGATTGTTTAGTTTTTGTTGTTGTTGATTATTATCATTTTGTAGATGGAGGATATTTTAGATATTATCATTGATATTTTGATATTTAAAAAGTGCATATATGATATTTTGATATTTAAGAAGGGCATACATGATATTTTGATATTTAAAAAGGATATATATGATATTTTGAAATTTTATGAAGGATAAATGTGATATTTATAAAGTTTATGAAGAATAAATATGATATTTAGAAATTATATTTCGTAAATATAATATTTTGATGTTTAAGAATGTTATATATAAAATTCTTTTTTTAATTTTAATTAAAAGAAACACACTTTAGTAAGCAACCATGGCATGCCATGTAGGCTGCAATGTCAGCCAAAATACTCTGTCAATGCTGACGTGGTGCACCACATATACGGTGAGCGGATCTACCTTTTAAAAAGACCAAACAAGAAAAAAGTTTGTAAAATTGGATTCAAGATAAAACCGTTGATGATTGATAAAATTTAAGACTTCTGCGTCGATATTCCCATATAATAATAATAATAATAATAATAATAATAATAATACAGCGTTGCTAATACTTTTATTTCATTGTTTATTCAATTATGTCTTCTAGATATTCAAACAAGATATCGATCATTTAGACTTTGAGTCTTTGACTGACCCAAGCCCCAATTTAAAACTCACAAATGTAATACCTCCATTGAAGTATAGAGATAGTAACAAAACATGATTTTTGAACAGAAAAGAATGATTAGCATAACCGAAAGTTTTTTAATGAAGAAAGCAACTTTAATTGTTGTTTTATTTGTTTCATTACACATTCAGAAAACCTACACCGCTGAAATTGCCATGATTTCAGATTCAAGCTTCTTGACAGAAGCAGACACGTTGGTCTCACCCGCCGGAATTTTTAAACTTGGGTTTTTCAGGCCAGGAAGCTCTGAGAACAAATACGTTGGTATTTCGTACAACAAAATCTCTGTTGAAACAGTGGTTTGGGTTGCCAACAGAGACTTCCCAGTCAACGGTTCATCATCCGGCACACTGAGGATCATCTCTCCAGGAAATCTCGTCCTCATGAACGGGAACGACACAAATGATGTAATCTGGTCAACCAATACAACCTCATCAGCTAACGTAACTGTACACCTTGAAGACAATGGAAATCTAGTTGTAAGAGAAACAATAGAAGAGAAGATTCTATGGCAGAGTTTTGATTATCCAACAGATACTCTTCTACCTGGCATGAAAGTCGGGAGAAATTTCTTAACGGGTAAGGAATGGACACTATCTTCATGGAAGAGCAATCAAGATCCAGCTCCAGGTGAATTCACATGGAGCGCAGACACAAGCGGCTATCCTCAGATCATACTAAAACAAGGCACAACAGTCATCTTCCGAGGTGGACCATGGAATGATGTTTGGTTTAGCGGGGATTCTGCTTCCACTAGGAACATCATTACAGGAGATATGATTATTAATGAATCAGAGGCGTATTACAGTTATTCTCTTCTCAATACTTCTGTTATCTCGAGGCTTGTCTTGAATTCATCTGGCCAGCTAGAGCGTTGGGTGTGGGTTAATGATGTGAACAAATGGCAGATGTTCTTTCAGTTACAAAGAGATTTCTGTGATGGGTACAACATCTGTTATGGTTATGGAACATGCAGTGTTCTAACCTCACAAAGATGTTCTTGTTTAGATGCGATAAGATTCGTGCCCAGAAACGAGAATGGATGGGAGATAACAGATTGGTCGGGTGGTTGTGTGAGGCGAACACCATTGGATTGCAAAAATGGAACCGATGGCTTTATCAGGTACTCTAATGTGAAGTTGCCTGATACAGAGTCTTCATGGTTTAACATAAGCATGAGTCTGAATGAATGTAGAGAAAAATGCTTCGATAATTGTACCTGTATGGCGTATGCAAATATAGACATTAGAGAGGGAGGAAGTGGGTGCTTGCTTTGGTTCGGTGAGCTTTTGGACATGAGAGAGATACCTGATGGCAATGGTGGTCAGGATATCTTTGTAAGAATGGCTTCCTCAGAAATAGAAATAGGTAACCATCTCTTCACAAAAATATTCCTTGATACATATATTCGAGTAGATGTATTTCAGCATGTAAAATTACTTATTTTATGATTGTTACTAGTTACTACAGCTCAACCCGTTTCAGAGAATAAGGAGAGAGCAAACCTCAAAGTCATCTTACCAGTAGTTTTGCTTGGGGTTCTTCTGATAGGATTGGGCTCTACATGGTTCCTTTTTGCATGTAGAAAAAGGGGTGATCCACAATCAATGAGGCAAGGTAAGAAAAATACACAACTACAAATTAATGATCCCAATTTACGTTGTTATACCTCGCATTACATCAATCTACTAGTCTACATTGTTATTTTCAACCTTTCTATATTACATTGTTATGTTCATCATTTGCCTTCTTTAGATCCCCACTCTCACCCTTACTATAGTCCTTGAGCAAGCCTTTTGAAAATGTTTGAGTCTCCTGTATTGTGAGTTATCTTGAAGCCTTGCATTGTCCACTTTTAAGATAAGAGAATTCCGTGAGCATGTGTTTTTATTTGTCCTGCATAAACTGAATATCCATAGTGTATTCTATGTATAAATTGTAGCATAAGATATTCTAGGCTAAACCGGAGTGTCTTTGAAGCCAACTGTAACACAGACAAATCTTTTAAATCTTTAATCCGTTAGGTTCTAACAATATACTCTATCTGAAATTATGATGTATGCATTTTAAGTAGCAGGGTAAAACCGAGTATTTCTATCGTAGTCAATCACCTATAACTTTAACTGCTTGCCTACACCATGTGATAATTCATTCAACGAGCGAGCTTTAAGCTCAGATTAAAAATAGGACCATCATGTGAAAGAGCATTCAAATGGTATCACTTAAACATCAAACTCAACTAAATAGTATGTTACCCCCTCCATCTTTTCAACCAATAGATGATTTGACACTGACACCACATGAATAAAATTCATACACCAATTACCCAACACGAATGGAACACTACCTTAAGAAAACGGATGAGTAGCAAACCGATGAAAGAACCGGAAGGTATGATGGTAATGCAACGCAGTAGCAAAGAAGCTGTTGAGCGACTAACCTGATGCTGCTGAAGGAAGATAACATTGATCAATCGTGGGCACTCGTCCTTGCCCTCTGTCGTTGCTTGAGTTTTTTCTCTTTGTATTTTGATTAATTTGAATTATATTTCATTGTGATTAGTGATTGGAATGCTTCATACGCAATTCAAGGGATTGTAGGGTTCTCAGGAAACTTTCTAGGTAAAGGGTTGATAGATCCTTTGATTCATCTATTGCCACAACGATACCATGAAAATCTTCAACTTAGACCTCTGAATTGAAAACTAACAAATGAAATACATATAACGGCTAGGGTTTCATATTATTATAAAAAAGAAGTACGAATACAATGAAAAGGAAAGACATAATATATAGACAAACTAATTAGGGTTTCCTAGCGGAAAGGCCCAATCATAAAACCCAATACAAAATAAAGCCCAAAATATTATTAGGTTAACATCCCCCTTCAAACTCACAATGCAACAGCAATAAGCATTGAGAGTTTGTCAGACAGAAAATGGAATCGAGGAGCAATCAACGGCTTCGTAAGAATATCAGCAATCTGCAAAGAGGAAGGAACATAAGGAAGGGAGATAGTGCCCTTCTGGAGATGATGACGTGTGAAATGACAGTCAATCTCAATGTGCTTTGTGCGCTCATGAAACACTGAATTCTTGGCAATCATTATCGCACTCTCGTTATCACAATACAAAGGGGTAGGCTGAGAGATGTGAACGCCCATATCTGCAAGAAGCCATCTCAACCAAACAATCTCACAAGTGGCGATAGCCATGGCTCGATACTCAGATTCTGTAGAAGATCGAGAAACAAATGAAATACATATAACTAACAAATGAAATACATATAACGGCTAGGGTTTCATATTATTATCAAAAAGAAGTACGAATACAATGAAAAGGAAAGACATAATATATAGACAAACTAATTAGGGTTTCCTAGCGGAAAGGCCCAATCATAAAACCGAATACAAAATAAAGCCCAAAATATTATTAGGTTAACATGAATATCTTTTCCACAATTCTATTACCATCGAATTCTTCACCATTTAATCTCATTTGGTTTGTTATAATGATCACACGGTTATAGAATCCTTCGAGTGATTTAGACCTTCTCATTCGTAAGTTAACAAATCCACATCATTGTGTTTGCAATCGTATAGTCTTCACTTTTCTTTCCCTATGTATGTGAGTCATGGTTAACATATCCTTGTTGGGGTGGAGTATTGATAGAAATTCTGCCGGTGAGAGAAAACTCTATTTGCAATCTTATGGTCTTCACTTTTCTTTCCCTATGTATGTGAGTCATGGTTAACTACATGGCATTTTCTGAATGACTGAAAATTAGAGCATCCCCTTTATGGGCTAATTGTAGATGGGTCTGGCCACTCAAAATTAGGTTTTCTATGATTTCTTTAAATAGACATACATCGCCATCAACATTCTTGCATAAAAATTCCACAAAACCAAATCATTGTGAGGTTGAGAACACATCCTTTTGGAGTAGTTTATTAGCAAGAGATATTATTTTGTTTTGAGAGCTCTAATGGGTTGCAACCTTTGTATGTGCTTGTAATTGTTCTTGGAAGTTTAATAAAATCATCTCTCTCTCTCTCTCTCTCTCTCTCTCTCTCTCTCTCTCTCTCTCTCTCTCTCTCTCTCTCTCTCTCTCTCTCCCGTTGAATTTGACCAAACCGTTATTAGAGCTTAACAAGTGTTATAGAGCTATGGTTGAAGATGGGAGAGTTACTATTGACAAATTCGATGGTCAAGATTTGTTTTTTTTTTCTGTACAATACAAATCAAATACTCTCTTTTATGCTTTAATAATGAAACCCTAGCAATATTTTGATGATTTGTTATGTCCTTCTAATATGCAAGTGTATTTGGTTTGTTTTGATTTGTCTCGATTGTTTGTTTTGATTTGTCTCGATTGTTCGAGGGTTCCAATTATTGTTGGTATTCATTTGATTTTGTGGGTTTTCATCGTTTTTCACGCCTCGAATTGGGTTCTGTCACCACATATTAACCTTTTCATCAATATCTCCCCACGATTTTATTTTCGCACTGCGATTTAAGTTGAGAGTACTGTTTCGTCGATATATCATAGTGAATTTATTATCACACCACAATTTTTTTTTTACTGAAAGCATCTTTTTTCCGTCTTAGTTATTGTTTAAAGTTTAATTTGTTTGGTTATTTAAGATATTTGTCAATTTTTAGGTTTCTTTATTCTGTTTGACTATTATTATTGATTACTAGTTTTGACGGTTTGATTTGTGTGTTTGTTGTTACTTTGGGATTATTGTTTGGTTGTTTACTGTCAGTATGGATCCAAAGGATAGACCAATCAGAAGAGTTAATTTTGATGAGTGTGCTTATTGCACAAAGAAGAACCACTGGAACAGTGCAAATTGTTATTGAACAAGTCAAAATAGCAACAAAATAGCTCATTTGGATCGTTTCGGCCATCATTTCACCCCACAATAGAAACTAATACTCATGGTACCACCACATCATCTTTTGTATTGGATACTCATGTCTTTGAGGAGTTCATACAGTTCATTGTTCTTAATTATATGTAACTATGTCTGCATCTGCATCTTATTCAAGCCTTTCCGCAAGTCTCTCCTCATCCGGTACTTCAGGTTTTCCTTCATCTATATGGATCTTGGACTCTGGTCTATCTCATTATATATACGTCACGTTACTTGTCATCATTTGTTTCTTTTTCTTATTGACCATGCGTTTCAGCCATAATAGCTAGCTCTACGCCTATACCTATAGAGAGTGTTGATTCGGTTGTCACTCCTAATGTATCCCTTAATGATGTCTATTATATTTTCTCACTTTCTTCAAATCTTGCCTCAGTTAGTTAGTTGTGTAAATCTAATTATTGGGTTTTCTTTTCTGATTCCCTTTGTTGTGATCTTGATTCTAACTCCCAGAGAGTGAAGATTGGAATCAACCATAAGTTAGGAGAACTATATTTCTTGGACCAACTCAAAATGCCTGATGTCTTTGTTAGTAGTGTTTGTTTGTCTGATGTTGTTGCCAATAGTGTTGATTTGTCTTCTTTTCATTTGAGTGATCTGTCTTCTTAATTTTGACTTTGTTATTCACATTTGTGACATGTCTCAATTTCTTGTTTAATTTTTTTTGCCTCTACTGGTGTTTTAGGTCGTTTGGTAAGTCATGATATTTCTGATTGTTGTGGTTGCAAACTAGCAAAATTTTATGCTCTACCATTTAATAAAAGTGTCACTCGCTTTGCTGCCCTATTTGATATTATGCATTCTGATGTTTGGGGTCCCTCGCCCGTTTCCTCTAAAGGAGGATCCACTTAATATGTTTCCTTTAGAGACCTTTACACTCGTTATACGTGGGTTTATCTTACGAATCGTATATCTAACTTTTTCATAATGTATATCAAATTTAGATTTGTAGTCAAGATTCAACACTCCGATGTTAGAAAATGTTTATGTCATGATTTAGGAGGCAAATATACTTCTAATGATTTTCGTCAATTACTTGTATCTGAAGATACTACACATAGATTATCATGTACATATATTCATCTACAAAATGTTATTATTGAAAGAAAACATAGTCACCTTGTTGAAATTGCATGATCCTTGATTTTAACCTCTCAGGTTCCTAGTACATTTTGAGGAGAATTTGTTCTTATCGCTACATATGTCATTAATCGCATTCCTACTACACAAAATTATGGGATGTCTCCTTATGAAAACATATATGGAAAACTTCTTGATTGTTCTTCATTATGTGTATTTGGATGTACATGCTTTGTTTTACAACCTCACGCTGAGCGAACCAAGTTGTCTCCAAAATACACTCTACGTTTATTCTTGAGGTATGGTATTGGTTGAAAAGGTTATCGATGTTATGATCTGACAAGTAAAAAATTGTATGTTTCTCGACATGTCACCTTTCTAGGAAACATTCCTTTCTATAACATTATTGTTTAGTCACACAATGTGACTCAGTCGGAACTTCGGGTTATTGATCCATTTAGCATTAACAATTATAATATTTATTCAGATGCTTCTGCTACTTCATCTACCCTTCCCACTTATGATCCCACACCTACTGTTATTCAAGAACACACACCAGTTGTTGCTCAAGAACCCCCACCTACTCAAGAACCCCCATTAAAGTCTACAAAGCTTCCATAATTTGTATATTCCTCTTGCACGTGATCCTTTTCCTCCATTATTGGGAATATACACCGTCTCTTAGAACCAACATCCTTTAAAGTGTCCATCTCCGATCCTTTTTGGTAAAATGCTATGGTTGAGGAACTTGCAACTCTTTATCAGACTCATACATGAGATTTAGTTCCGTTCCCACCTCGAAAACATAAAATTGATTGTCGTTGGGTATATAAGATCAAAACCAAGTCTGATGGGTCTATTGAAAGTTAAATGTCAGACTTGTTGCAAAAGGATACTCACAAGGATATGGTATGTATTATGAATAGACTTTTTCTCTATATGAAAGAATGACAATTGTTCGCACTCTGATTATTGTTTCTTGGAGATTTGTTGATTTCGTGGAAAAGTAAGAGCGAATATGTTGTCTCTCATTCATTTACAAAATTCGTTCTTTCATGAAGAGACAAAATATATTGAGAGTGATTCTCATTTCATTCATCACCATTTTCAGCAGGGGACTATTTCTCTTCCTCGTGTTCCATCCACAATGTAGATTACTGATACATTTACGAAATTCTTGACTGCTCCTCGGTTTCATTTTATGTCTGAAAAACTCTCAATGATTATTAGTGTCACATTATAAGTTTAAGGGGGGATGCTAGCATAATAAAGTTATTAGGCCTTTTGTGGTTTGGCCCTATTTGGCCCTTTATCCATACAGCTAGGTTTAATCTTTTAAGCTTTCCTACTTATATTGTCTTTCTCTTTCTTTTGTTTTGTACTCTCTTTTATGATTCAATATTGAAACCATAGTAGTATTTTGTTCATTAGTTTACAGTTGGCTGTAATAAATAGTCAATAGGAGACTAATTAATCTCAACATACGTAAGTTGAATATTTATGTGTAATAGAATTCTTGAAGAAAATTATTTTAATTCTTATGTGCAGGCGAATTCTTGCATGTTGGTGAAAGTCAGAGAGATTCCATGGAGCTACCATTATTTAGCTTTTCTACAATAGCTAAAGCTACTGCTAGTTTTTCTTTAGACAATAAAATTGGAGAAGGTGGATTTGGATCGGTTTATAAGGTACAATAGAATGTGATTCCAATAAAGGTTTCGGAGTTCAATAACACTCAAAATTATATATTAAGATTCTATACGTAAAGCAAAGAAATACAGGCCATGAAGTATAAGTATGCTACTTATAAAAAAAGATTTGGTTGAAATTCATCTTCACTATTTCTATTGTTTTTCACATGGCAACTGTTGATGATAAACAGGGTATGCTAGAAGAAGGACTCCAGATTGCAGTTAAACGTTTATCTAAGACTTCGAACCAAGGGCTTGTTGAGTTCAAGAATGAAGTCATTTACATTTCAAAACTTCAACACCGAAATCTTGTTAAACTCCTCGGATGCAGCATACAGGGAGACGAAAATTTGTTGATCTATGAGTACATGCCAAACAGAAGCTTAGACTCGTATATATTTGGTCAGACTCACATAAATGCCATTAATTTAACTTCTAAGAATTAAGCATTCATCGAAACTAAAAATAACTACACCTTCATCTAGATAAGACACGAAGCATGCTACTTGATTGGACAAAGCGTATGAACATTATCAAAGGAATTGCTAGAGGGCTTCTTTATCTCCATCAAGATTCACGCTTAAGGATCATCCATAGAGATCTTAAAGCTAGCAATGTTCTACTTGATCTGGACATGAACCCTAAGATATCAGACTTTGGCATGGCTAGGAGCATTGGAGGAGGCGAGACTCAACCAAACACGGAGAGAGTTGTTGGCACATAGTAAGCTAGATAATCCAACTATACATTATATATATATATATATATATATATATATATATATATATATATATATATATATATATATATATATATATATATATATATATATATATATATATATATATATATATATATAAAGACTTCTTTTTTACTCATATAAGCATTATCCTGCATGCAGTGGTTACATGTCGCCTGAGGCACTAAAAGGAGTTTTCTCAATAAAATCAGATGTATTTAGCTTTGGTGTCTTAGTGCTGGAGATTGTGAGTGGGGAGAGAAATCGGGGATTCATGCATCCTGACCATGACAATAACCTCATTGGACATGTATGTTCGCTGGCCACAAATTATTTTCTTGATTTGCATATATAGTCCTCTAACTATTTCTACATTATATTTAGGCATGGAGAACACATAATGAAGGCAGGTCAATGGAACTCATTGATACAACTTTAGGCCAATCAAGCAATTCATCAGAAGTTATAAGATCAATTATAGTTGGGTTGTTATGTGTTCAACAAAATCCAGAAGACAGGCCAAACATGTCATCGGTTATTCTAATGTTGGGAAACGAGGGTGCATTGCTGAGACCTAAGCAACCAGCATTTTTCTTAAAAACGAACACACTTGGTGCTGATTTCTCTTCAAGCACTTGCCCAACAAGTTCAACCAATGGTTTAACTGTTACAGATGTAGTTGCTCGATAGAAAGAACATGCATAGTTTCAACCTTCAGTTTTTTTTTTTTTTCTTTTTTTCTTTTTTCTTCTTATAATTAGTATATTCAAATATAAGCTTTTTGTTATCCCCATTTCTAAACATGTCTACTAAATTGATTTAACTGTTGGACAATACTCTTAGATATATATATATTTATAGTATTGGGCTTTATTTTATCTCCTGTTACTTTCTTTAAAGACAACATTGAAATGGAGAATAATTTTGTTCTTAATTGATCACATCATCGTTGAATTTCTTACCACATCAATAGAATTTGAACTTGCTGCACTTTTCAGTCCAGACTATTTGATTTGTAGATCTTTCACCATCTAGATTAATGTTCACTTCTACAAGTTAATTTATTATAATGACAACACAATGCTTTTTGTACATATAACTTGCTACTTAATTGCTCTCGGTCTTTCATTTTTAATTTTCATTTGAATACTTGTCCATTAAATGCGTACAAAACATCCGCCATTTGATCTTCTGCTTGAAATACCCAAAACCCTTTGTCTCTGGAAAGAGGGTTAACCCAACAACGAAACAGAACAACTACGATGCACAAATACTAAGATAACAATGTCTAACAAACACGAAAACACAACATGGCAACACACAACAATAACAAGATAAGATATTTATGGTGGTTCCACACCCGAAGAGGTTGTATACATCCACAAGGGAGGGATGATATCTTGTATATTGCACAATTAAAGCAGGATTACAACAATTTATTGGAAAAATTGGTTCTAAACAATTTTCAAATTGGAATTTTCCTATTTTGAACACGAATTTTGAACCCTAAATGGATAAACATTTATACATTTGTATTCTCCTCTATCATAACTTCGTTTTGGTATAGACGAATGAAAAAATAATCATTAAAATTAGGTAGTTTGAAAGACTAAAAATTAATTTGACTTGAACACTTGACCTTAAAAATGTGATTTTTTTTGGAATGGCAAATCTAATTTATTTCTACTAAACTACTCCTAGTATCACATATGTCTCACAGATGAGACTTGGACCTTCCTTCGACCTTAAAGAGGGAGGACAATACCTGGTACCGTTGGGCTATAAATCATTTGATAGATATGAATTGTGATTAATTGAAGTATCAGTTATGACTTTTTTGGTTAATGACTGAATTAATTTTTTGGTTTTTACTGTTTTGATCCTGACTATTCTGTTATGAACGTTACAACAACTCTATATAAATTTAACATTCTTGTAAATGAAAAGGATACTAGATATGAAAAATGGTCTTTTCATCTTCTCTGCTTCTACCTATGCATTTTCATGGTGATATCAAGGCAAAATTCAGGCTTAATTAATAAGGTTCGGTTTCGAAGAACCACTTCTAGCTGTTGCATACTGAGAAAGAAATGTCCAGTTACGAGCAAACTTGTTTTTAAGGTGCTAAATATAGGCCTCGACTAATTTTGTGTTTTATGGTTATTTTTGTAAAATTTCTTAATATTTTTCCAAAAATCATACAAGAAATTTGTTTGTATGAAAAGCAGACGATTTTTTTCTTGCTTGTTCTAACTAGAAAAAAAATATTTGTATGTTGTTACCCATCAGTTTTGATCGGAAAGCAAAATAGATTCAAGCTTTTTTGTATGTTTGCTCCACTCGTGCTCAATTTTTAAAACTACAATTTTTTTCCTCGTTTTACCCGTTTCTTCAAAATCTAAACCCTATTTCTAATAAGCTAACAGACTCAAATACGCAGGCTTAACTACAAGCTTAACGTGTGTAGGTTGGAGGGAAATGACTTGCGAATTTTTTTGGAGCTCCACTAATGAAAATTTTAAATTGTTAAAATACAAATTAGCGCTAATTATTTAGTAATTCAAAATTTTTAAAGTGGCTACTTAATGTGAAGAATTAACAAAGGGTAATGTCGTGTTCACAACATAACAACGAATATTATCTAAGTTTTATAATTTAAAATTATAAATTATATTAAAGCAATATTAATGTAGGTGGATAAAATGTAAATCTTGATGTTTCTATAATGAAACAAAACTTATATACAAAAGATGTGTATTAAGCATAAAATTCAAAAATAAATATTGAATGTTACGACTTATTGATGAGAAAGTGATAATTGGTTATGGGTAATGCACATTTGGGTGAATGGATGAAATTTGGTAATGGGTCATGTATATTGGATGAGAGTGACTTATAGCTTCATATTAAGACCAATGGATGACATATTGGTCATGAGTCATGTGCATTGGGTGGTAGTGGCTTATAGTGTCATGTTAAGACCAATGGATGACATATGGGTCATGGGTCATGTGTATTGGGTGCTAGTGGCTTATAGTGTCATGCTAAGACCAATGGATAACATATGGGTCATGGGTGATGTGTATTGGGTAGTAGTGGCTTATTGTGTCATGTTAAGACCAATGGATGAAATATAGGTCATGGGCCATATGCATTGGGTGGTAATAGCTTATAGTGTCATGTTAAGACCAATGGATGACATATGGGTCATGTGTCATGTACATTAGGTGGTAGTAGCTTATATTTTCATTTTAAGACTAATGGATGGCATATGAGTCGTGGATTATGTGCATTTGGGTGGTAATGGATTATAGTGTCATGTTAAGGCCAATAGATGACATATGGGTCATGGTTCATGTATTCACGTGAATGCAACCAAAGAAAGGCTTGATACTTACATCCAAAATCGTGAGGAGATCAAAGAAAAGACGGATCCAGGAAACTAACTTGATTCTCCAAGATGTTGCATACAAATATCTTGATGGCAAGACTAAGGTGGAAAAAAATAAGAAGTAAAATATTATGAAGACATTCATGCCATGGTTAAAATGATAAATAATAAATGCAATGAGCTTAGTAAATAGATCAGAACTTAATTTTTATTTAAATATTTTGGCATTTTAATATTTATACTTTGTTATCTATTTACTATTTTTAATATTTAACTAGTTGTATTTATTCTATATATGTTCTTCTATCATTAGATTAGTTACTGTGATGTTAAAATCTATTTCAATTTTTTATTTAATGTTGTTCTAACATTTTTATGACAATCTTGTTTAATTTGTTATTATGATTCAAATTCCAACCATATATTGATTAACAATTTACAAAACAAACATGAAAATGATAAAAATAAATATAAATCCAAATATAGTTTAAGTTGATTTGTTTTTATAATACGTGTATTTTCTATATATTTTTATTTAGTTTAGGTTGTTATTTTGTTAATAAGTATAATAAACTTTCCATGTTTGTAATGACCTATAACTATTTATATAATTTTGTTAATAATTTCATGTATGTTGCTATATTTAACATTTTCAAATATTGAATAATATTGACCAACTTCTTTGACCTAGCATTGATCCATCACATCGAAATCACGACCAAGGGTTGTCGAAGGTTCCCTCATACACTCTTCCTTTGAAACCGTGTTCTACGATTCTCATTTTCCATTAAACCTGTCCACAAAAAATTATACGCCATTTATCAAATCATCAAAGTGAATCACTTATACAAATGAGAAAACTTTCAAGATTGGTTCATCAATCGGTCATTTTGTGAAAATATTTATAATAAAGGTACCTTTGTTATATATATATATATATATATATATACACACACACACACATCAAATTCAATCTTTCAAATCGACGCCATATTAGTGAACATAATATTGTGTTATTTAATTGTAAATTTTCCAGATTTAACATCATGAACAACACAAATCGAATGTGGATATATGAAAGAAAAGATTATCATGGTTGTGTCTCTTCTGTTTTCATAAATGTCACACCCCAAAACTGGATCTAGGATGTATAATTCAAAATTAACACTATAGGAATTGATCGAAGTATTTACCTCTTTCAATTGGCTTGAAATCCTTTGAATATTCTTGATCTTGAGCTTAGAGTCACAATTGTAACTCCTCTAATGGTTCACAAACACCACAAGCAAGAAGGCTATTATGAGAGAGGATGAAGAACACTAAAAATCGGCCCTAGGGTATCACTTGGAGTTAAGGTACCGAAAATTGCAACCAAGGGCCTATATTTATTGTGTAGGCTGCTAGGGTTTCAGTCTAAACCCTAATGGACAACTTAGTCACCAAGGCATCCCATGGAACCTTCTAGATTAGGGCATTTGGACGAAAATATGATGGATCCCCATCATAATTTTGTTCCCCTTTAGTCTATTAGGTTTCCCAGCCTAAAACTCAACTATCACACATTTGACAGTTTATGCCCCTTTATTCAATTAATCTCTTTTAGTTACCAAATTAATTCCTAATTAATTTATGACTAATATTAATAAAATAATATGATTTCTCCTTTAATATATTATTCTTATAATATATTAATAAATCATAATATATTCTCTCTCTCCTAAATAACTTTGTCAAGTTGCTTTGGTGAAGGTAACCCAAAATGACCATGCACAACCGGGTCAAGTACATACCAAATATAGTTAAGAGCTTAGATACTAATCTAACAAATTTACCAACACACCTTATAATATATTAAAATGCTACATAAAAAGCTTTATGATTTTTCTCTTCTGTATGCTATCTTTCTTCTATTTCCTAAGATTAAATACACTTAAATCCACAAAATCGGACTCCAACATATAAAAGTCACCTTTGGTATTTTCACAAATTATGCACACTGTATATATAAAGTATAGAAAAAGTTTGGTAATTTACCTTAACTGATTAATAATTATTCACAAATTAATGATTATTTAAGCGAATAAAACAATGAAAAATAGCTAAACTGGTTGAAAACTAACTTTTATATTTTTCGTAGATTCTATATGTTTAATAACATTGGTACAAAAAGTTTGGGGAATTTCGGAAACTATTTTCTATTTATCTCCATTTTTGTTAGAATAAATGCACACAAATAATAAAATTGCATTAAACTATTTAGAAATCCATTTTCATATTTTCTCAGCTTAAGTATGTTTAGTTGCCATATTAGAAAAAGTTAAGAAATTTTTATCATCTGAATGCTATTTTTCAGGAATTT